ACTTGTCCGAGATGATAAAAGCGCTGTCTTGTATATCGGCTGGCCACCGCAAGTCATTGTATAGGCCACATACGCATTCAAACGCCACTACGATTCTCAATGAAAGTCCAATGCGGAGGCGCATCCCTCAGACGGGATTGATTAACGCCCAGATACTTTATCCTTTACCTTTGTTCTCACTTTTGAATATTTCTTAGCTGCAGCGCTGACTCTGCCACCAATTGACCGGTCCTGGTGGGATAGAATGCTTAGTTGGCTTAGGCGGATATTGATCAGGGATTCGAACCTATGATCATGTGTGTGATAGTGCCCCAATTGCCATTGCACCACCTTCGCCTAAGGCTTTGTTGATATTGTAAATAATCCTCACAGCGGAGTTGGGAAATCTTCATGCCTAAGAAAACTATCTTCAAAAGCCGCCAGTGTTATGACTATAGCAACCTGTTCTCCAAGTCAAAGCTCCCATAGCCTAATTCGTATCTGAGGTTTTTGTTAAGCGGCATTGGAAATTAAAAGGTATCTCTGTGGATATGTTTGCAGACACATACGCATTTTGAGAGGGGAACGGAAAAATCCAATTAGGGAATTCATTAAATACGAACCTTGTTTTCGAAAAGTGCAGCGCCCACATCGGGCACCCACCCATGTTTGTGTTTTGAGGATTACAAGCAGTTAATCATGTTTTCCGCAGACCTGCTTCGCAAATATAATAATCAGTCGCTTTTAGACTTTCTAATTGTTTTATTTTTACCAACTGATAAGCTCTTACAGCTCCCTAAAACTAGAACAGTTGCAGTAAGCCNTGAAAAGCTTGCCTCTAGGCGTTGTGTACAGCCGACTCCTTTAGATTTTTGTCTTTAGGGCTTCAGAACTTGGCATTCCTGATCATTCCTTTGAAACTACATATTTCACGTTTACCAGTCGTTATGTTATCATTCGGGACTACAGTTGTCCTCTGGGAGGCGTTTTGTTGTTGTGAGTCTGCAGGGACGTTCTCGTGTCATAAATCAAAATGACTTCACATTGTTAGTTTACTGGTGATATATTGCCTATGAACTTTAGTGAACCCAATAGATCCTTCCGATAGTTTGTTTACCACCTCGACCATATCTTCTTATTTCCATACAATATCAACTCTTATTAGCTGCCCTAACGTAATTATGGCATCAAACATGAAGAATGTAAGCAACTTCAGTTGAGACCAAGTAATCCCAAGAAGTACTCTCCCATGTCGTACTGGCGCGATTCAGGAATCTCGTAGGGCCTGAAAAGGCCAGCCAAACTATTCCAAACAGAAAGTGGAAAGGTTGGTACGACTCATTCTGACGGTCAGGCGATTATGTGAATTCTTCTGTGAATTGTAATAATCGGGTGGGAATTTTTTATTGGCAAATGGCGCACTATCACGTACGCATGGTCACTGGTTCGAATCCCGAACCGGTATCAGCCTAAGCCTGTCAAACGGTAGCAGACTCGTCTGTGAGGGAAGAGGCACTGACTTGTACATCGGCTGGCCACCGCAAGTCATTGTAGGCTACACATACACGTACGCATTCAATACCCCCACAACAATGCTGAACTGAAGTTTAATGCGGTGGCACATCCCTTGGACGAGACTGATTAACGCTTTATCCTTTACCCTTGCACAAGTGCCTTTGCCCTTATAGAGCTATCCAGCCATCCTGACCGTCAATTTTAGGAGTACATATTGTCAACTGGCTTTGCGTCACGTCGTTATAGAAGCATGAAAACTTCTATCTCTACTCTTGACTAATTTTAAGCAGCTAATTCTCGTAATGGGGAACCTGTGGGTGAAACAATGGGTAGAACCGACCGGGTTCGGGATCTTCTCCCCGAAAGCGGCGTCGCGCACGCCGCACCCGTCGCGTATCGCAGAATTGCGATGGAAGATAGGAGCGCGCAATTTGTGGGGTAGGGAGTCCTTTAATTATTCGAATTGGCTGGCCGCTCTCTTCAATTCCAATGCGGTCTTGATCGTCGCCGATATAGGAGGAGTCATTCTAATTAATCAAGTTTGATAAACATGAAAACGAAAAAGAAAAAGAAAAAACGATCAAATCTCATAAAAAAGAAAGACAATCAACAGAAAATATTACGTCTTATCGATTGACGGGGAGGAGGGGTGAGTACGGTGATTGCAGTGACATTTGCCGCATGCCGCAAGGGAGAATGCCGCAATCGGGGAGAAGTTCCGTTACCCAAACCAACCACTCTTTCACCTCAAATCCTACCGCCAAAGAGTTTTTTACAGTTCTTGACCGTGGCATGGGAAATTATAATGTGAACTTTTTGTTGGGCTCGTTTTCGTGAATTTAATTGGAGTCTATCAGTCTTCCCTATTGTAGGACAGAAATGTCGCTACTCCGAGAGATTACTACATGGCCCTGGCTAACACCGTTCGAGATCATCTCGTCAGCAGATGGATTCGTACGCAGCAGTACTACTACGAGAAGGACCCGAAGGTTGTTTATTTTTTGCAGTATTATTATCAGCAAAGTTGTTACTTCTGGAAGTATTTAGCGAGTTTACTACCTTTCCCTCGAATTCTACATGGGTCGAACTCTATCGAATACTATGATGAACCTCGGTCTACAAGCTACAGTCGACGAAGCACTTTATCAGGTGGACATGTTGATTCGATTACACCAGCAAATCTATCCGTATTCTGCAAGGGAGACGTCTTTCAGCTCGGTTTGGAGATTGAGGAGCTGCAAGAGATAGAAGAAGATGCTGGACTCGGAAATGGAGGCCTTGGGCGATTGGCGGCCTGCTTCCTCGATTCCATGGCCACCCTGGGAATTCCAGCCTATGGGTACGGGCTTCGATATGAGTACGGAATTTTCAAGCAATTGATCAAGGATGGATGGCAGGTGCGAATTCGAACCATTTGGATGTGATTCCATATTACCTTTTTTTCAAGCGCTGGTTAGACGTACAGGGAATAACGTCTTTACCATGATTGAGATTCGCCTTTATGAGTTTCGATGTAGCAGTTGTTTACGTTTGTAAGGCTTTTGGAGATAAATGGGTGGGTCGAATTCCCCAGAGATCGGAAGAACGCTAGGAAAGTCTCTTTTCGTGAAAAGGGCTTAGAAAGGACGAGACGACATGGAAGACGTTAATGATTTTAAGGGGGTATATGTATGTGCTTCAATTTTGTTGGTGTATAAAATAATACGACTCAAACGATTACAGGTAGAAGAGCCAGACGACTGGCTTCGATTTGGCAACCCATGGGAGAAGGCACGTCCCGAATACATGCTACCAGTAAACTTCTACGGTAAAGTCGTCAAGGACGAAAAAGGAAAAGTAAGTATTACATTCAAAAATTTTGTGGTTGTTTGGATGCTGTTTTAGCTTGCCAATCGACTCGAAGGGCTAGCTTGTGTCCATAGCACTGCTGGTATTTTCTAGCTTGGTGCCAATAACCGTACAGGGGGAACGGGAATACAAGTGATGGTGGGACCAGACTTTGACCACTGGGGCGCAGCTGGCTCGAAATGAGCGTCACACGAGTGAAAATGAGCAGCCAGGTTGGGTAGAAGGGGAGGGAGCCAAGTCATCCGAAGGCGCATGTCTTGAACTGGTCCCTGCAAGTCTTGCAGGGAAGAACTTAGTGCTTAGCCGAATGGAAGTATGTGCTGGAACTAGTAAAGCTGAGAACGCAGCCATTCATGGTAGGTGGACCGGGCGCCGAGTGCTCGGAACTGGGACCGAAACTCTGCCTTACCTTTCAGGAACGCTTCTAACAAGGGAAGGATCCCAAGTCGAAGTGGCCATTTGAAATGGGACCTATACTGCTAGGCGTATTTTTTGATGCTGATTTCAAATCTGCATTCAAAATCTGCCAAACGATTCTCAGAACGAAGTTATGGAGGTGGTCTCTTAAGAGCGCTCAACAGGGGAAAGCTCAAAAGCCATGGTCGCTGACAGTCCAGCTGTGGCGGCTTGGAGTGGAGGTAAGCGTGACGCTTCATAGGCCTGGGACCAGGGATCGGGTTTGGTGGGCGGCAACGTTTTGCATCTTGCAGAACTTTTCCCTCCGGGTTGTAAA